GTTCAAACTCAAGAATGACAAAGGTCAACCCGTCCCGATAGAGTTGGAGGTTCTGCTTGTGCGGGACCTTGGGGCAAGCATAGTCTATTTTCTGTCGGAGCGTTGGATGAGAAGGGGGTGAAGACGGATCTACTTTCGGCACCTCCGGCCCTGCGAAGCCGGAACCTGTATTTCCCCATATCAACAGCAGAGGTGCCTCGAATGTACGTCGTGAATCTCATCCTGAACGACCTGAATCTCGACCTGCCTAGTTCTCCGCTAGTTTTCCGGGCCGATACCGCTGCCGGTGTCTGGCACCGGAGGATGGGACATTACAATGCGCGCGCCCTGAAGCAGCTCTCGGATAAGGAAGGCACCGGCATCAAGTTCACCACCAACATTCGACCAGGTGACTGCGAAGTGTGCAATGTATCTAAAAGCAAGAAGGCGAGTCACCGCCCAGTTGGCCGCGCCCGTTCACCGACGCGAATGATGCTTATGCATCTGGACCTGTGGGGGAAACATGGTGTGCCATCGTACAACGGATGTCAGCATAGTCTATCGCAATGGTCACCGACGATAAGTCTCGCATGCGGCGGGGCATCCCCCTGAAGGCAAAGGATGAAGCGACTGACGCGCTCGAAACCCTGATTAAGGAAGTCGCAGACCCCGAGGGCATCTGCATCGGGAAAATCCATTGCGATGGCGCAGCCGACTTCAAGGGCAGGTTCTTAGCAATGTGTCGGTCCTTCGGGATTGCTGTGGAGACAAGCCCCCCGTACGTCCTCAAGGGAATGCTGTCGCCGAACGCGGTTTCGGGACTGTCATCGGTGCAGCACGTAGCCTCATGCTTGGAGCTCCGCACCTGCCGCGTCAACTGTGGGCGGAAGCCGTGAAGGCCGCCATTTACATCAAGAACCACACACCTACTGACGTCCTGGACGGCAAAGCACCACTTGAGGTTTGGGAGGACAAACCACTCGACAGCTTGAAGCACATGCATGAGTGGGGGTCTGTAGCGTTTAAACACGTATGAGCTCGCTCGCGAAACGATAAGTTTTCTGCCAGGGCGAAGAAATATAACATGGTGGGCTACAATACAACTAGCAAGACGTGGCGGCTATGGGACCCGGCGGAACCACTCAAAATTACAATCTCTGCTGAAGTGTCATTCCGCGAGGTAGATGCCCGCGACGTCGCTCGCCCCATGCACGGGTCTGACCCATTTCCCGAACAAGGCCAGATTTTCCAGCCCGGCATTATCACTGGGGCCGAGACAAGAGACGAGGAACCAGAACCGGCAGACACGAACGACGGACCGGACGAAGAACCGCCCGCGGTGCGCAAAAGCGGTCGCACGACAAAGCCGCGGGACCGTCTGAACCTGTTTACGACGGAGCAGGTGTTCGAAACAGAATACGCACTGGTGATCGGAGGTGAGATCGGGAACCTTGGTCAAGGGATACCTGGCCAACTAGGATACATGCCCGCCGATCCACCGAACTACCGCGCAGCGGTCAACGGACCAGATGCCGTTGGATGGATGAAAAGCATGGAGGAGGAGAATCGCTCCTTACTAGACCACGACGTTTATGAGTGGGTCGATCCCCCGCGCGATGCTCAAATCATCCCGTCAAAATACATCTACAAATGGAAGTACAACGAGGCCGGCATCGCTGTGCGACAGAAATCGAGAATCGTAGTGCAAGGATTTCACGAAGCTGAGGCCGGAACCGAGCACCGGTAGCGTCTCTCCAAGCCGTCCATCTGATAGGTGCACATGCTGCCAAGAATGGACTTATTCTTCGCCAAGCCGACATCAGGACGGCGTCCCTCCACGCGAGGATGGAACCGGGATCGAAACCAGTGTACGTCATTCCCCCGGAAGGATTCTCGTGCGACAGCGAGAGAGCCAGGCAAGTCTGGAAGCGCAGAGCGTGGCTGTACGGGTTGCGTTTTTCCCCAAAAGGCTGGTGGGGCACTCCGCACGATTTTCTCCTGAAGATCGGATTTGTTGAGAGCACCGCTAAACCGTGCTTGTACATCCTGGACGACGGAGATGTGCTCCTTCTCGTTTATGTGGATGACATTCTGCTGACCGGGGAGGGCGAGAACAATGTGCTGAGCACAGTAGATCAGCTGAATGAGCGTTTCGAAACGGTGGACCTGGGAGGAGCCAGGTTCCTGCTCGGTATGGGAATCGACCGAGACAGAGCCGCAGGGACCATTCTTTTGGAACAGGAAGCGTATACCAACGCAGTGTTGGACAAGTTCGGCATGGCCGACGCGCGTCCGACGACATCTCCGTCTGAGGCTGGACCGGTGTCCGTCTTGGAGGACCAGGTGTTGTCAGCGGAGGATACCACATATTTCCGCTCCGCCACAGGCTCGCTTTTATATCTCAGCAGGTGCTCAAGGCCCGACATTATTCACTTCGTGATGGTTCTGACGCGGAGTATGGCGAAACCAGGAGGGCGATGCAGAAACTCAAACGCGTACCCAGGAACCTGAAAGGGGCGATATCAACCCACCACGGGAGTCGTTCTGTACTTCGCTGGTGGACCGGTGAAATGGGCATCATCCAAGCAAAAGGTAGTGGCGACCTCTTCCGTTGAAGAAGCAAAGTTCGTGGCTTTGTCGAAGGGGTGCAACATCATCAAGTACTTCCGCCACCTGCTGGACACCATAAATCAGACTCAGGAAGAAGCAACCGTGGTGTGGGAGGACAACTCGAGAGCTCTGAAATAAACTTGAAGCTTCCGTATCACCCCAAAGACCAAGCACATTGACGTAAAGTTTCACCACGTAAGGTCGCTGGTAGCTGATGGAGTCGTAGACGTGAAGCAAATATCGACGTCGCTTCAGAAAGCGGATATTTTTACAAAAGGGCTAAACCCGTCGTTCTCCGCGCCCGTGACATGCAGTTCGGAGTTTGATCACCTCCCCTCTTCGTAATCAGACTTTATATCTTGAGGGTTGGATGGTGTATGTGTGTGTGAATGTTTAAAGAATATTCGGGAGATTTGTGTTGAAGGAAAACATTCGCTGCTGATGCAACGCAGCTGAGAAAGGCAGAACAATTGATAATGAGTCAGATGATAACATTGCTTCGAGAGGACATGAATATTGTTTCGAGAGGACAGTGAGAGAGAATTGGTTCTGATGCATTGGTACTAGAATGACGTAGGTCTTGAGAGCACATGTTGGAGTAATTGCAATACAAGAACGAGTCTACTCTACTGCATGGATGGGTTTATGCAGTATTGTGAAGGCGTTGCCAAGTCTGTAACCGTCAGGTGAAGACAGCTTGGGCGTCTGTGTGGATAATAATATCACTCGGGCGGGTTCCGAGCTAAAGACGAATCACCTTTCCCACCTCGGAGAAGAAAAAAAAAAAAACATAGACTTCGCAGATCGTTCTCAAACGCCCAAAAACGACGTTTAAAAAAAGTTCCCAAAAAAAAAAAGTTCCCCTTCAGCCCGAACTTTTTTTTTCGCCGCATTGCCGAACTTTTTCGCCACGGGAATCGTCGCCAATCGATTCCGCTTGGTCGAATTAGGNCATAGACTTCGCAGATCGTTCTCAAACGCCCAAAAACGACGTTTAAAAAAAGTTCCCAAAAAAAAAA